AAGTGGTCGAGAGCGCGTGTCTTAGTTTACTTAGGATATCATAGATAAATGCTTTCGTCTTCGTTTACACGGGACCGATGTTCTCTGCTAGACTCACTCAATAAGGTTTTGCTGAACGAGGTGAAAGACTCTCGATGGTTCTCAATCTGTTTATCAATTTATTTGCTCATTCATTTTTCATGATATTTTATACGTGCGTGTGTAAAGCAGAAGAGATTCATAACTCGCCCTGATGTGAATTATGAGGACTGAAATTTCAGACTGATCAAACCAAGATACGCATCGGGTATTAGCTTCCTGTAATTCAGGAAATACGGTGGAAGATGTAGATCAAAAAAGTTTGATGCAACGTGAACGATGTAAAAAGGAATAAAGGAAATAGATTGACTGATATCAGCAGAGATACGTGGACGATAGATCACGTTATACGTAGATACTAATCAGTCTGAACCGTCAGATCCTAAATGTTAACTAATTTGTTTCATGTAAATACTTGAGTAATATAGTTTGAACAAGAATCACAAACATCTAATTTATTGGTTTAGCGAGTTAGTTATTTTAATTTGCTGTGTAATAAGTGAAAGCAATTCTGAAAGTAATTTTAAATATTTTTATAATTAATTTTAAATGAAAGTAATTTTTTTTTTAAATATAACAAACTTTATTCAACAACGTATTCGCCATTTTGATCCACAACCTTTTACCATCTCGCGGGCACCTTCATAATTCCATCTTCTCAGAACTTGTTACCTTTTTCAGCAAAAAAACCTTGACAAATGCATTTTGCAAGCCTTCAGAGAATCGAAGTTCTTACCATGAACTGAGTTCTGCAGAGATCGAAAGATTTAGTAATCCGAGGGTGCAAGTTAGGTGAATAAAGGTGGGTGGATGAGAACATCCTAATTTAGTTCCCTGAATTTTTCCCAAGTCTGCAAAGAGATACACGTGATCTAGAGTTACATTCGTGGAAAATTACTTCCTTTCCGTTGGCCAATTTGCCTTTAGTCGGTCCACTTGTAAATAATACTTCTCAGAATTAATCCATTGATTAGATGGGAAAAGTTCACAATAAAGTATTCCCTTCCAATCTCACCATGCGCATAGCATGACCTTCTTCACGTGTAAATCGACCTTGACAGTGGTTAATGGAGCTGATCCTGGCTTACCCCAATGTCTTCGTCGTTGCACGTTGTTGTAGGGTAATAATAAATGGTTCGTTATTACAGCGTTTACCATGAGCCGAAATTCAATCGATTAAATTTCTCACGGTCAGATCATGTGGAATCGAAATATCGCATCTGGAAATCATTCTAAGTTGGTGTAAATGATTTTCAGCGGTGCATTTTGATATTTTCGATATTTCAACAATCCGCTTATACTCCCCTTTGATTATAGAAAATCTAATCAAAGATCAAATACATTACTAAAATCTCCACAGAGAACAAACTCAGAGCAGTATCTCAACTTGGTGAGTACCACACGAAGAGTCAGCACGGCAGTTTTTGTTCTCTCTCTCTCTCTCTCTTTCTGTAGCTCTCGCTGTCAGTTTCTCTCGATGGTCTTTTTGATCTTCTCGAAGCAATTGTCCCAAGCGAGAACCCGGTTGAGGCAATAACGACTGCAGGCCCGGCCTATCCTGTACCTTCTGACGTCTTAATAAAGCAATCGTCTGATTTCTTGAAACTCTCCTTCTTTTGCTTCGAGCCACACTTCGCAAGCTTCGAGAAGACTCTGCTTCGTTCTCTTGGTTTCGTTCGGCATCACAATTTACACGGCAGTCTTGGAAATTTTTAACATTTCACAAATTACTAAATTTCTCATTAAACGTATTCTGTAATTACATAACTGTAATTAATATCACTTCATATGGTACTTGTATTCGAAGAACGCGATATAACACGATTTCAAAAATCGATAGAAATTAATAAATATAAATATACATAAGTCAATCTATCTTTGCTTATAAATTTAAAATTTGTATTTTTAATCATTTTACCGAATGCAGTACAGGTTCACAATTAAGTATATATTTTCTATATACTTAATTGTAAAATTAATTCATTTTACATTTCTTGAGTGCAGAAAAATGTTCCTATTCGTAAAAATAAATTGTAGCTGTTTTTCATATCCAATTATAGAAGTTTCTACAAATTGTAATTTCTCGGATTTGCTAAAGGATACAATTGTAGCTCTTGTTCCAAGATTTTTACGCATTATTTATTTCTTGAAATGTAAGTCTATCGGGGGTCTGCGGTCATGCTTCCATGATTTTTTTGGAAAAGCAATTAACCTCGACTCGACGTCAGTTTAACGCTTACCTTTTCTTAATTCTCTCCCTGTAACTCGGTGTTGAAAGGCAGGTACCTTCAGAAGCAGAACTGGGCGATATAAAATTAACGTTCTGAAACGTAAAAATAAACTTTCATTGTCCTTTCCATTGTTTTAATTTAAAAAAAAAGTAATGATTAAATAACAAATATAAGTAATTGCATGCATTTAATCTTGCTGTAATTATAATTTTTTCTTTCAAATTCAAAATAATGTTATTTTCTTTTTTATGTGTAATTACGATATAAATTCATTTAATTTCATAGTAAAAAAATTTCTTGCACGCAAATAAAAGGATAGCGGTTTTGTTTATTCTACACATAATTTACAATCATTTTTTTTCCTTTGTAAAAGAATATTTTATTTGTATCTTGTTTTATCTGTTAGTTATAGTCGTCTTGTTGTAAGCTTACATGAATCTTGCAGGTTACGTTGATGAAACCGAAAGTGTAGAAAAAGTTAATCGTTTACTTAATGAACGTTAACCAACATTGGAAAAACTATTATAATGATAGAAGAATATTTTAAAGCGGTACACTTTTAATACAGCTCTTTGAATTCTTTCGAATATTACTCAATTAGATTTTTATCACATTCATGCAACAAGACTATTATAGTTTTGTTATCATCACAAATATATTAGCTATAACATGTAACGTTTGATAAGAAAGTACAATATAAAGAATGAGAAAATATTTAATTATGTATTTCTATGTTTGAAACAAATAGTTTATGGATAAGCTGAACAGTCCAAATTATTATCTTCAGGATCGAAATAAAAGTAAGAAATTAATCAACTTAGTAATTTTTATTGTAATCATTACAAACGTTAAATGCGAATCGCCATTTTCGTTTCTTATATACTAACACGCTGGAAAGGAAGCGAATGCCCCAATAAATAATAAACGAAACGAAAACCAAAAAAAAAGGCAGAAAACCGTTGAACGTAAATTAAAAGAAATACCACCGACAATTATCCGATAGAAAATGGAAAATTACATTTTGCTTTGGTTCCATTCTAATGGACGTTATTAATGGCGCTAGAATAATAAAGAATTCGAACAAAATTAGTGCAATTTAAAAATGTCATTTCTACGCTAAGCTATACACATACTCTAAGGCTTCTAAGGTGTAACGAAACGACATCTTTCAGAGAAACTGAGCAGATTTAAATCAAGTAGAAGCAATAAGATATTTGGTATTTATATACTTAGAAAGGATTTTAAGTTGCTCGTTTATTATTGAAGTGTTCTTCTCGTTGGTTTATGATAATGTACAATTTTATTTGAAAATAGAAATGATTATCAGTTTCTTCCTAAATTCTTTAAACGTATGATGGTAAAAAGTAATAGAAGCTGGCCTTTCCTTTCGGTCACACAATAATCATGCTTCCCTCATACACTCATACAAATATGTTTTTGTTTCGTATAATATAATGTAACTGTACATGAAATCACTTACATGACTACTATATACACTAAATGTTTCGATTTCTTATTCTTTCGATTTTGAAATTTTCTTGTGGTACATTCAATCGAATCGATATTAATATAATACCGTAAA